TATTCAATTTGTCCTAATTCTTCATTTAATGTTGTTGTACGAGCTTGCGCTGGTACATTATTTGGTTCATAATACATTTTACTATCCCAATCGATCCATTTCGATTGTAATAAACGTATAAATTCAACACTAACATAAAGTGATATCGGCACAACAGTATTTAATATAATAATATATGATAAAAAGACTAATAAACTTTTTTCAAGTGCACCAATACGTTGATCAGTTGATATATAAGTTTCCCATGGTAGATAAATACGATAATCAAAGCCAACAAAAGATTCCCAAAATCCACAACAAATTGTCATTATAGCACACATGATCAATAAGAAGAGAAAAATCTAAATTAAAAAAAAACATGATTTAAGTTTACACAATTTTAGAATATTTATTCTTACACCAAGAATAATTCGATTAAGTAAATGATCGATTTTTGTTCTTTTAAATGTTGCTTTTCCACTATTTTTCATTAGTTTCGTATCAGGACCAGCATAACATACAACTGAAATTTTTATTAAAATGTAGAAATCTACGACAAATATCTAAATTTCTTACGTCCATAAGCATAATGTGTATTTCTCAATCTTGTTCCACGTAAAAGCATATTATCATTTTTTAATGGCAAAGTTTTTCCTTTCCATGTTAAATTTCCTTCAAATCGTCCAAGATTATTATTTGGTGCTTCATATTCAATTTCGGCTGAAATAAAATTTATTCAAAATAGTATTATTATTTGTTTTTTTGTTGTAATCATACCATCAAAACTTGATAATTCATTAATTTTATCTTCAAGATGACATGTTTCTTCTAGCGCTTGCCGTACTTTAAGATTTGTTTCACCATCTAATTCAGCAGTTTCAATAAAACAAAGGCCATTTGGTTCACTTGTCGATACGAGTACAATATCAGCCTAAGAAAAAACAACTTTATTTTGTTGTATTTCATTAATTTTCAAAATCTTACAGTAACAAATTCATTATTCTCTAATCGTACCATATCACCAACTTTAATATCTCTCCATTTTCTTGTTGTTAAATCATTTCCAACTACTGTTTTGGTTTCACGATTATTTACCTGATTATCACTTCGATGCCTTGCCTAAAATAAAAATCATTATTTCATTTATCATATCAAGATAATCTTTTATTTTTACAATATCATCACTAGCATCTTTGATCGCAGTTAATGCTAAGACAAAAACAAGTGGTAAAATAGTTGTAACAGGAGCTAATGAACTAATTTGTGGAATAAGCTAAAAACATACAAATTAAACAATGTATAGACTTGTTTTTTTGTTATTTACCTGTAAACAAAGAAGAAATAAAAAATATGCATTGGCTAATCGACGAAATTGTTCGAATAGATTTTTTGGTAAAAATGTGATTAAATTATATTTCGACGTTGATATTTGATTACCCTATGAAAATAAAATGTTATTTTTTTGTTTTCTAAAGAATTATTCTTATATATATTACAGCATATTCTTTAGCAGCATTTGCTTCGGAATCATTCGCTTTAAATTTTCGACTTTTTTCTTTAAATAAAAAAAGAAATAGAAAAAAATTCAAATTATATTTTAATTTATTTACAAACCTTCGACTTTTTTCTTTTTTAAAAATGGTATTTTATTCATTGCTTAACAAGTTTAAAATACTTGTTTAATATCCGTTTATCAGTTATATAATCAACATATCACAAAAATAACTGTATAAACGAAAAACAAGAAGATAACAATAATAATCTAAAAATACAAAAAAAAATGGTTTTACTCAATTGTTACTATTTATTATTATTATGATTCAATCGAACGTAGGGACATTTTGTTCGTTTTTTTTGAATGAGTAATAATAAGAAGAAAAGAACGAAAGTATCATGTACGTATCGTTCGCATACGTTAATGTTAGATACTGATCAAACAGCTTGTTGAGACACGTAATACTAAGAAACCATAGGAAAAGAAGGAGACAGATGTATAACCCTGCTGGAATAGGTTGCACTGATGAATATTATTTTAGAATGCGATAAGTATGTTGTAGTCATAGTAATAGGAAACATAAAGGCGCGCAATAACAATGTGAAAAGGCAAATCAATGATGTGTGATAGACACGCTCTTGTATTTTCTCTTTTTTTTATTGTAATTTTCTTAAAAAATAAACGACTTTTCTGACACTTAAGGAAATAAAAATTTCATTTTTCCTCTTCTTCTTCTCTTTAACGACAGCACACCCTGTTTGTTGTTATGTAAAAAATGACGACATGAATGACGTCGGATAAAGA